GTATGTATACATGTGTATACAATGTATATATGTGTGTGTATATATATGTATATATGTGTATACAATGTATATGTGTGTGTGTATATATGTATATATGTGTATACATATACATGTGTATGTGTGTATGTATATATGTGTATACAATGTATATGTGTGTATATATGTGTATACAATGTATATATGTATATATATGTATATATGTGTATATGTGTATACCTAAACATGTGTATGTGTGTATGTATATATGTGTATACAATGTATATGTGTGTATATGTGTGTATACAATGTATATGTGTGTATATATGTGTATACCTATGTGTGTATATACACATGTGTATACAATGTATATATGTGTGTATATATATATGTATCTCATGTGTATACAATGTATGTGTGTGTATATGTATATATGTGTATACCTATACATGTGTATGTGTATACATGTGTATACAATGTATATGTGTATATATGTATATATGTGTATACCTATACATGTGTATGTATGTATATACAATGTATATGTGTGTGTATATGTGTATACAATGTATGTGTGTGTGTATATATGTATATATGTGTATACCTATACATATCTGTGTATCATGTATATACAATCTGTGTGTGTGTATATGTGATAATACCTCTGTATGTGTATGTGTGTATGTATATATGTATACAATGCTGTGTGTGTATATATATGTATACAATGTATATGTGTATGTATATATGTATATATGTATACCTATACATGTGTATGCATATGTATATGTGTATACAGTATGTGTGTGTATATATGTGTATACAAGTATATATGTGTGTGTATATATGTATATATGTGTATATGTGTATACCTAAACATGTGTGTGTATATATGTATATACAATGTATATGTGTGTGTATATATGATGTGTATACAATGTATATGTGTGTGTATATATGTGTATATGTATACTAAACATGTATGTGTGTATGTATATATGTGTATACAATGTATATGTGTATATATATTATTATATACAATGTATATGTGTGTATATATATATATATGTATATATGTATACAATGTATATGTGTGTATATATGTATATATGTGGCATACCTATCACCAGTGTGTATGTATATATACATGTGTATACAATGTATATATGTGTGTATATATATGTATATATGTGCATACAATGTATATGTGTGTGTATGTATATATGTGTATACAATGTATATGTGTATACATGTGTATACAATGTATATGTGTGTGTATATATGTATATATGTGTATATGTGTATACCTAAACATGTATGTGTGTATATATATATGTATACAATGTATATGTGTGTATATGTGTATACAATGTATGTGTGTGTGTATATATGTATATATGTGTATATGTGTATACTAAACATGTGTATGTGTGTATGTATATATGTGTATACAATGTATATGTGTGTGTATATGTGTGTATACAATGTATATGTGTGTATATATGTGTATATGTGTATACAATGTATATGTGTGTGTATATATGTATATATGTGTATACCTATACGTGTGTGTGTGTATGTATACATGTATACAAGTATATGTGTGTGTATAATGTGTATACAATGTATATGTGTGTGTGTGTATATAATGCATATCCATCTATGTATACCTATACATGTGTAGTAATGATAATATATATGTGTATAATGTATATATGTAAGTAAATGTGTATATATGTATATATGTGTATATGTGTATACCTAAACATGTGTATGTGTGTATGTATATGTATACAATGTATATGTGTGTGTATATGTATATATGTCTATATGTGTATACCTAAACATGTGTGTGTATGTATATATGTGTATACAATGTATATGTGTGTATGTGTGTATACAATGTATATGTGTGTATATATGTATATATGTGTATACCTATACGTGTGTATGTATACATGTGTGTATGCAAGTAACATATATGTGTGTGTATATATGTATATATGTGTATACAATGTATATGTGTGTGTATATATGTATATATGTGTATACCTATACATGTGTATGTGTGTGTGTATACATGTGTATACAGTAATATGTGTGTGTATATATGTATATGTGTATACCTATACATGTGTGTGTATGTATATATGTGTATACAATGTATATGTGTGTGTATATGTGTATACAGTGTATATGTGTCTGTGTATATGTGTATACTATACATGTGTATGTGTGTGTGTATACACATGTGTATACAATGTATATGTGTGTGTATATATGTATATGTATACCTACTCATGTGTATGTGTGTATGTATATATGTGTATACAATGTATATGTCACAATGTATATGTGTATACAATGTATGTGTGTGTGTATATATGTATATATGTGTATACCTATACATGTGTATCTGTGTGTATACATGTGTATACAATCTATGTGTGTGTGTATATATGTGTATACCTATACATGTGTATGTGTGTATGTGCCTATGTGTATACAATGTATATGTGTAATGTGTATATGTGTGTAATGTATATGTGTGTGTATATATGTATATATGTGTATACCTATACGTGTGTATGTATACATGTGTATACAATCTATGTGTGTGTATATGTATACATGTGTATACAATGTATATGTGTGTATATATGTATATATGTGTATACCTATACATGTGTATGTATACATGTGTATGTCTGTGTGTGTGTATATGTATACATGTATACAATGTATATAGCTGTGTATATATATATATATGTGTATACCTATACGTAATATGTGTGTATGTATATATGTATACAATGTATATATGTATACAATGTATGTGTGTATATATATATATACTGTATACACCTATACATGTGTATCTGTGTGTATACATGTATATACAATCCTATATGTGTGTATATATATGTATATATGTGTATACATATACATGTGTATGTATGTATACATGTGTATACAATGTATATATGTTTGTGTGTATATATATGTGTATACCTATACATGTGTATGTGTGTGTATACATGTGTATACAATGTATATGTGTATATATGTATATATGTGTATACCTACACGTGTGTATACTCATGTGTATACAATCTGTGTATATGTATACATGTGTATACAATGTATGTGTGTGTATATATGTATATGTGTGTATACCTATACATGTGTATGTGTGTATGTATACATGTGTATACAATCTATGTGTGTGTATATATGTATATGTGTGTATACCTATACATGTGTATGTGTGTATGTATACATGTGTATACAATCTATGTGTGCTATATGTATATATATATACCTATACGTGTGTGTATGTATATGTGTATGTATATATGTGTATACCTATACATGTGTATGTGTGTATGTATACATGTGTATACAATCTATATGTGTGTATATATGTATATGTGTATACCTATACATGTGTATGTATGTATACATGTATGTATATATGTATATACATATGCTATACAATGTATGTGTGTATATATGTATACAATGTATATGTGTGTGTATAATATATATGTATATATACATGTATGTGTATATATATACATGTATATACAAATAGTAATAATATATATATAATATATACCTATACCATGTATGTATACATGTGTATACAATATATATATGTATATATATAATATACCTATACATGTGTGTGTATGTATACATGTATATAATCTATATGTGTATATATGTATATATGTGTATACAGTAATATATGTGTGTGTATGTATATACCTATACATGTGTATGTATACATGTGTATACAATCTATGTGTGTGTATATATGTATATATGTATACATATACGTGTGTATATATGTATGTATACATGTGTATACAATGTATGTGTGTGTATATATGTATGTGTATACCTATACATGTATGTATGCGTTGTGTGTGTATGTATATATCTACATATGTATACAATGTATATGTGTGTGTATATGTATATATGTGTATACACATACATGTGTATGCATGTATACATGTGCTGTACAGAAATGTATATGTGTGTGTGTATATGTATATATGTATATATACATGTGTATGTGTATACGTAATATGTAGTACAAATGTATATGTGTATATATATGTATATATGTATATACCTATACATGTGTATGTGTATGTATACATGTGTATACAATCTATGTGTGTATATATGTATATATGTATACATATACATGTGTATATATGTATGTATACATATGTATATAATGTAAATGTGTGTATATATATGTATATATGTGTATACCTATACACATGTATGTGTGTATGTATACATATATACAATATATATGTGTGTGTATATATGTATATATGTGTATATATACCTGTATGTGTATGTATACATATGTACATACAATCTATATGTATGTATATATGTGTGTACATACATATATATATATATATTTTTGAGACAGTTTCAGTATTTGTGCCCAAGCTGGAGTGCAATGGCGCGATCTCCGCTCTGCAACCTCTGCCTCCTGGGTTTGAGCAATTCTTCTCTGCCTCACCCTCCCGAGTAGCTGGGATTACAGGCGTGCGCCACCACGCCTGGCTCATTTTTGTATTTTAGTAGAGAACAGAGTTCACTATATTGGCCAGGCTGGTCTCGACTCCTGACCTCAGGTGATACACCCGCCTCAGCCTCCCAAAGTGCTGGGATTACAGGCGTGAGCTTACGCACCCGACCAGCAGCCCCATCTTCAGCTTGAAGCTAGCATTGTGTTCCTGCAAATATTTCTCTCAGAATAAATTCCTCAATTTTGTGAGACTTGCTTGTGGGTGGGCTGTTGCCTTTCCGTCAAATTACTTTACACTTGACCAGCATTTCTTGCTTTCAGATTGTTAGTGTGGATCAAAGATAAGGAGAGCACCGTCCAAGCCAGAGCATTTCTGGCACAAGAAGAGTCTCAGAACCACGACTCCTAGAGACAGTTGTTTCTCCTTTAAAAACTCACCTGTAATGTGTGGCATCATCTGAGGATGATTTGCACTGTTGAACACCAGGCAACTCATCAGAAGCAGAAGCTGAACAGGAGTGGGGCATGTGGAAAAACTGGATGACGCAAGCCTGAATCAGCACCAGAAGCAGCATATTGGAGAAATTCTGCAGAAAGAGTATCAGAGCAGCATCGTTTGTAAAGAAACGTAAGCTCAGGGTGTCACAGGAGCCATTTGTCTTCCGTGAGTTTGGGGAGAACGTTCTGCCCAGTTCAGGATTATGCCAACAAGAAGCAACACCTGTAGAGAACACAGACAGTGAAACTAAGCATGGCCCACCCTTTCAGAAGGGAAAAACTAATTCGGGTGTAAATGCACAAAGCCTTCAGCACCAAACACTCAGTTATTCCACACCAGAAAGTTTTCACTGAAGATGGATATTATGTGTGCAGTGATTGTGGAAAATCCTTTACTTGAATATGTCAGCTTCAGTAATCATCAACGAGATCACACTGGAAGAGGACCTTATGAGTGTGGAGAGTGTGGGAAATCTTACACTCAAAAGAGCAGCCTCATTCAGCATCAGCGAGTTCACACTGGAAGAACTGGCTTTCCTGTGGGGAGTGTGAAATCTTTTAGTCAGAAGAGCAGCCTTAACCATCAGCATGTTCACACTGAAGGACCTTATAGTGTGAGAATGTGGGAAGTCTTTTGGTCAAAGGGTAAATTCATTCCCAACATCAGCCCGAGTCACCACCACTGGAGAGACAGCTTATCACTGCTTTGGGGAATGTGAAATCTTTTCGTCAAGTTCTGCTTTATTAACCATCAGCGTGTTCACCCTGGAGAAAGACCTTACAAATGTGGAGAATGCTTGGGAAATCTTTTGGTCAAAGGGCAGCCTCGTTCAACATCAGCGAGGTCATACTGGAGAAAGACTTATGAGTGCAAAGTGTGAAAATTGTTAGGTACAGATCCACCTCTGAACACCAGAGACTTCACGCTGAAAGGCCAAATAATTGCTGGGAATGTGGGGTATTTAACAGGAAGTATCATCTTCTTGTTCATGAGAGTTCACACTGGAGAAGGCCATATGAGTGTGAGGTATGTAGGAAATTGTTTGCCCAATAAGCACAGTGTGGCAGCTATACATCAGAGGATTCACACTGGAGAAAGGCCATATGAATGCAGTGAATGTGGAAATATCATTTCTTTCCAGCTCTGCGCTTCATGTTCATAAAGAGTTCATTCTGGACAAGAAACCTTATAAGTGCAGTGAATGTGAAAATCCTTTGCTGAATGTTCAGTCTCATTAAACACAGGAGAATTCACACTGGAGAAAGGCCTTATGAATGCACCAAATGTGGAAAAAGATTTCAGCGACTCACCCTCCACCTTCCTCTGTCAGAGTTCACACGAGGAGAAGACATGAGTGCAGTGAATGTAGAAATCCTTCACTGAAAGCGTCCAATCTCATTAAACACAGGAGAGTTCATACTGGAAAGGCAACCCTGAAGTCTCATTAAACACAGGAGAGTTCATACTGGAGAAAGGCCTTATGAATGCTGTCAATGTGGAAAACTTCAATGCTCTCCTTGGTCTTAAGAGACTTCGCGTTGAGACCCTCTCGTTCTGTCACCCAGGCTGGAGTGTGGTGGCACAATTTTGGCTCGCTGCAACTTGGGCCTCCTGGGTTCATGAGATTCTCCTACTTTAGCCTCCCAAGGAGCTGGGATTACGGGTACACACCACCACGCCTGGCTAATTTTTGTATTTTTAGTGGAGACGGGGTTTTACCATGTTGGCGAGGCTGGTCTTGAACTCCTGACCTCAAGTGATCCACCCACCTTGGCCTCCCAAAGTGCTAAGATTACAGGCATGAGCCTCTGCACCCGACCTTCATTCTTTTTGTATCGCTTGGAATATGACATGCTGAACCAGGCATGGTGGCTCATGCTTGTAAACCTGATGCTTTGGGAGAATGAGGTGGTTCACTCGAGGCCAGGAGTTAAGAGATCAGCCCGGGCAACATAGCCAGACCTTCTCTACAGAAAGAAAAAAGAATCACATGCTATGAAAACTTACTGTATATCATTTATCTGTTGAAGTGTATTTCAGTTGCTTCTTGTTTTTGTCTGTTATAAATGCAGCTGCTACATTTGAATGCACTTGTTTATATAGGTATCCTTCACTATGTTAATACAGTGGTGTGTAGTGCCTGAGTCACATGATAGATTAAAGTACAACTCTTTTGTGAGACAGACTCGCTGTGTCACCCAGGCTGGAGTGCAGTGGCATGATTTTGGCTCACTGCAACCTCTGCCTCCCAAGTTCAAGTGATTTTCCTGCCTCAGCCTCCTGAGTAGCTGGAATTACAGGTGTGCACCACCATGCCTGTATAATTTTTTGTATTTTTATTAGAGACTGGTTTCACCATGCTGGCCAGGCTGGTTACAAACTCCTGACCTCAAGTGATATGCCTGCCTCGGCTTCTTGGGTGTGAGCTACCACGCTTGGCCTAATGTACAATTTTTTAAGCAACCCCAAACTATTATCTAAGAATAAAATTATTGCTCGTTTGTATATCTACCATCAGTGTCCGAGAATTTCTGTTCTTCTATCTTACGAAGAGGGAGAGTATAGTTAGTATTTGAAATTGTTCATTTTAATAAGTGGTTATAGCATTTTGAGTCAACTATTTATGTTTTACATGCTTTTTTGTTTTGTTTTGAGACAAGGTCTCACTCTGTCTCCCAGGCTGGAGTGCAGTGGCACAATCTCAGCTCATTGCAGCCTCTGCTTTCTGGGTTCAAGCACTCTTCCTCAGCCTCCAGAGTAGCTGGAAATACAGGCGTGCACCACCCCTGGCTAATTTTTGTATTTTCTGTAAATTTTTTTTTTTTTTACCTTGTTGCCCAGTCTGATCTCAAACTCCCAGGCTCAGGCAATCCACTTGCCTCGGCCTCCAAAAGTGCTTGGTCTACAGGTGTGAGGCACCCTGCCTAGCCTCACACCTCTAGGCTTGTTTTTTAAAATGAATTTTATCTTTCCCATTTCATTAAGATATTTAAAAATAATGAAATAACGACTTTTGTTAGACTGCCTCCCCCGCAGGAAGAACCATCTTGGCCTCATATTTCATTTCTCAGTCAGCCCCTGATATCCAAAAAAAATTTAAGACTCCGGAGGAAGGCCCTCAAACTCCCATCCAGGATTTAGTCAAACTGGCCTTCAAGGTCTACAACTCCAGAGAGGAAGCAGCTGAGGCCCAACAACAGGCCAGGCTAAAACAGAAGGTACAACTCCAAACCCAGGCCTTGGTAGCAGCCCTGAGGTCGGCCGGCTCCAGGAGCTCCCAGAAAAGAGGTACTACCCGAGCGCCACCTGGTGCCTGCTTCAAGTGCGGCAACGACGGCCACTGGGCCAGGCAGTACCCTAACCCAAAGGAGCCAACTCGCCCCTATCCGAACTGTCGGCAGATGGGCCACTGGAAGTTGGACTGCCCCAACCTGAGGACGGTAGCTACGTCCCCATGTGACGACCCTCCTCCAGGTACTGGAGGCGCCTTCCAGCTCGACACTGATGAAGATTGAAGAAGCCCAGACTCGGGGACCCCTCTCACTGTCCCCGAGCCCAGGGTTATGCTCCAGGTAACGGGTAAGTCCATATGTTTCCTTATGGACATGGAGGCTACCTACTCTGTTTTGCCTTCCTTCAGTGGCCCCAGCCACCCCTCCACTGTCATGGTCATGGGAATTGATGGCACTCCCTCCACCTACCGCCAGACTCCTCCTCTGTCTTGCCGACTGGATGGCTCCCTCTTCCCGCACTCATTTCTTATCATTACTTCGTGCCCAGTCCCCTTGTTAGGACGAGATCTCCTCTCCAAGCTAGGGGCCTCAGTTCACTTCCGACCCAACCCCTTCCCACACCTCACGTTCCTCTTGCCCCTCCTCTCACCTGATAAGCCCCACCAGGCTGACCCCCCACTCCTGTTTCCAGTCCCCATTAACCCTAAGGTGTGGGACACCTCCACCCCAATCCTCGCCCAGCACCATACTCCGTCTGCATCCGGCTAAAAGACCCTTCCAAGTTTCCCTCTAGACCCCAGTTCCCTATCTCCCTTGAACATCGACAGGGATTAAAACCTATCATTACACGCCTGCTCTGGCAGCACATTCTAGTTCCCACCAACTCACCACGTAATACTCCTATCCCACCTGTACAGAAAAGCTCTAGGGCCTATTGCCTCGTGCAGGACCTACGCGTCGTCAGTGAGGCAGCAGTCCCCACCTTTCCAGTTGTTCCTAACCCATATACACTTCTCTCACACATTCCCCCCGATACCACTCACTTTATTGTCCTTGACCTAAAAGATGCCTTCTTCACCATTCCCTTACATCCGACTGTCACTTTGTTTGCTTTTACATAGGAAGATCCAGACACTCATATTTCTTCCCAGTTGACTTGGACTGTTTTGCCTCAAAGGTTCCATGACAGCCCCCATTTTTTCGGACAGGCACTGGCACAGGATGTTTTTCCCTGTCCCCTGACCCACAGCACACTATTGCTGTATGTCGATGACTTATTACTATGTAGTCCTTCCTAGCAGTGCTCCCTTGCAGATATTGCTACACTTTTAAATTTTCTAGGCGACCAACGTTATCAGGTTACCCCGGCTAAGGCTCAACTTTGCAGCCCTTCTGTCACCTACCTAGGCATACTCCTCACGCCCACTACAAAAAGCCTCGCAGCAGATAGAATAAGTCCCCACTGGTTACGGTACCCTTACCCAGCCGTTTTAACTCCTCTAACCTAACCCCCTCCTTTCCCCTTCCTGGCTGAACACTACATCAGTGAGTCAGGACTAGTAGAAACCAATCTCCTCACTCTAGAAAAGATTCAGGAAAGACTCCACCAGAAAAACCTCGGATCAAGGCCCTCACTTAGCGGCAGTCGTCTGTGGCCGGTTAAGTCCTACCCTTTCTAAGCCCCTTACTAATCATTGGCTTCTTGCTACTCATAGCTCCCTGTGTCCTCCGCTTCATCCAGGACCGCATGAAATTAGTCTCCCAGGTCACTTTAAATCAGATGCTGCTCCACCCCATACCCGAGTTCCGACCTCCGAAGAACCCCATGACGACCCATACCAGCAGGAAGCAGCCAGATGAACACGTAGCCCCACTTTCTTTTTTTTTTTTTTGGGACAGAGTCTCACTCAGTCGCCCAGGTTGGAGTGCAGTGGCGCGATCTCTGCTCACTGCAAGCTCCGCCTCCCGGGTTCACGCCATTCTCCTGGCTCAACCTATCGAGTAGCTGGGACTACAGGCGCCCGCCACCACGCCCGGCTAATTTTTTGTATTTTTAGTAGAGACGGGGTTTCACCGTGTTAGCCAGGATGGTCTCGATCTCCTGACCTCCTGATCCGCCCACCTCGGCCTCCCAAAGTGCTGGGATTACAGGCGTGAGCCACCGCGCCCGGCCTGTAGCCCCACTTTCTTATTAGAAAGAGGTCGGAATGTTAGGCAGGAATCTAGACCCAACATGGCGGCGTTACCCGGCGTAGCAGGCCTTTTGTTAAAGACTCCCTTCACCCTTGTACACACCCGCAGACTTACACGCGTCAGAGTTCCGGCTGGGCAACCACACTCCCCCGTGACCCGCAGCTCACCTGCATTCCACAAGCTCGTAAACAGCAGTTTTGGTTAACAGTTTCCAAGGACACTTTCCTCATGACCCTTACTCAACTCCTGCCCTAGTAGTTTCAAGACCCCCCAGGCCCTGTTTGCACAACCAGCTTCCCTACCTCTCAGGCTATAAAAAGCCCCTACCCTCCTCCCTCAGCGCAACTTCCTCGGCCCACGCCTTTGGACTGAGGAACCTCGCCCGCAAGCCCTAATAAAAGGCTATTCTCACTGCCCTTTGCCTTGTGTCTTCGTTCCCGGTTCGGCTCCAGCCTCAGTTTACCTTTACACTTTTTTCTTTTTTTTGAGCTACAGTCTGTCACCCAGGCTGAAGTGCAATGGCGTGGTCTCCGCTCACTGCAACCTCTGCCTCCCAGGTTCAAGTGATTCTCTTCCCTCAGCCTCCTGAGTAGCTGGGCCTATTGGTTCCCGCCACCACGCCCAGCTAATTTTTGTATTTTTAGTAGAGATGAGCTTTCAGTATGTTAGCCAGGCTGGTATCAAACTCCTGACCTCATGATCCACCCTCCTCGGCCTTCTAAAGTGCTGCGATTACAAGCGTCTGCCACCACCCCCGGCTTATCCCTAGAAATTCTATGATAGCATGATGTATAGGCACCTAAAGGCATAGCACTTGAGAAATGTGAGTAAAAGATTGTAAGTTATAAATAGCAAGGTATAATCAGATGTTAACAGTCTCAACCCCTAAATGTCACCTTGTATTACAGCATGTGCTGTATGTAAGCATATGTAAGCACATATAGGCACGTATATGAA